AATTTAAATTCTGATATCAAATTATTTATATGGTGACAAGGTAATCTTTTTTAAAAGAAGTTTTATTTTTAATGGACAATTTCATATATTTAGGGGATACAATGTGATATTTTGTTACATATATACATTGTGGAATCATCAAATCAGGGTAATCAGCATATTCATCACATCAAATACTATTTCTTTGTGGGGAAAACATTTAATGTCCATTCTTTTAGCTATTTTGAAATATATAATACACTACTATTAACTATAGTCACCAGGCTGTGCAAGAGATCACCAGAACCTGTTCCTCCTATCTCACTGAAACTTTGTACCCTTGACCAACATTTCCCCTTTCCCTGTCCACTGCCCTCCACCCACACAACCTCCAGCCTTTGGTAACCGCCATTTTATTCTCTAGTTCTATGAGTTTGACTTTTTACATTGCACATATAAGTGAGATCATGCAGTATTTGTTTCTCTGTGCCTGGCTTATTTCACATAGCATAATGTCCTCCAGGTTCATCCATATTGTTGCAAATGACAGAATTTTCTACCTTTTTAAGGCTGAATAGTGTGCCATTGTGTGTACGTATACCACCTTTTTGTAATCCATTCATCCGTTGATGGACACTTTAGTTCCATATCTTGGTTATTGTGAATAATACTAAAGTGAACATGGAGCTGTAGACATCTCTTTGACATACTGATTTCAGTTCCTTTGGATACATAGACAGAAATATGATTGTTAGATCATATGGTAATTCTACTTTTAGATTTTTGGAGAACCTCCATACTGTTTTCCAAATGGCTGCACTAATTCACAATACCACCAAGAGTATACATGGGTACCCTTTTCTACACATCCTTGCCAGAGCTTGTTATCTTTCATATTTTTGATAATAGCCAATCTAACAGATATAAGGTGATACCTCATTGTGGTTTTTATTTGCATTTCTCTGATAATTAGAGATGTTCAGCATTTTATTCACATATCTGTTGGTAATTTGTATGCCTTCTTTTGAGAAATGTCTATGCAGGTCCTTTGTCCATTTTTTAATCCAGTTGTTTTCTTGTTATTCAGTAGTTTAAATTCCTTTTATATTTTTTATATTAGCCCCTTACCTGATACACGATTTGTAAATATTTTCTCTCAATCTGTGAGTTATTTCTTCACTATGATAA